CTCTATGGTTATCTGTTCTGATCAACGATTGTATTCAAATATCCATTCTTATATTTGACTTATTTTAATTCTATTATTCAATAATGCGAGTTAAATTGATAATTATATAAGAGGATTGGCGAAATGCATATTACGATAGCAACTAACATACGATCAAATTGGTGTTAGATAATGGGCCACTAAAAATTATCAGTAAATTATTGGCATTAATCCGGTTGTATGTATCAAATGAAAACTCCGTTGTATTAAATGAACCTTTGTAATTTTGGATATTAATTAAGTCAAATGTAGCGTTTCTAATCCATGTAAATGTTGGTTCATATAAACATGAACCTGTAAATTTTAAAGAATAACACTTATATTATAGTAGCTCAGGTGCAAATGAGTTTTTTGACATGCAGTTTGGTTAAACCCTTTAGCTAACTTATTTAACAGACAGAGTTATTCGTTTTTGATGAAGTTTTGTTCTCTGATGATGTCGTTCAGAAGAAAGATGAAAGCTTCACAAACAAACCATCCAGCTCAGAGAAAAAATCTCCATCAAAATCATCCATCTTATCCACCATTTCAGAGTTATTGGTACAATAGCAAATTATCTATACCATTGTACCTTTATTATTGTTGAACTTGTATGAATACGTAAATTTTAAACCTGTTCATTGACACGCCCACTTATTCACTCGCTTACCTGCTTGCTTTCCACCACTACTCTTTCATGCTTGATTAACATACCTGTAATTTTATCTGTGCATGGTTCAACAATCAATAGTTCGTATTCGCCTTCTGAATAACACACCATTGGGAAGTTGTCTAGTGACGGTTATCAGGACGAACTGTATACAAAGTTTAAAAATATCGACCAACACAATATTGATAGAAATAAATAATATTAAAAAGTAATTATATATTAACTAAACTTTCCATCATGTCAATAATGAGGTCAGTTTAATCCTTTTAAGAAATAAAGCCTTAATTAAAACCATTTATAATTGAACTTTATCAACTTCAATGACATTTGATTATTTTATGATGAAAGTTATGTCAAAATTTAGATCATGTACACTTCTTATTTACATTAATGTGATTATATTGACATTCAATAGAATAAAACGTATTCCTAAGATCTGATATTCACTTTTCCTTCTTGTTATACTGTTATATCATTGTGTTTTTACAAAATGTTATACCAACATGTAAATGTCAAACATATAAAAAGGTAGTCAGTGTGACGACCTTTGAGTGACATTAAAGTGACCTTGGGAATGTCCACCTACTTACTTGAGCTAAATGATTATGATTTACAGTTGATGGTTAGGATTAAGAATTAGATTTATGATTCTCATCACAAACTGACATCAGCTTAAATGCCAGGACTCTATTTAAACAATTGAGTGAATGAATTTCGCGGTAAAATTTGAGACCTGTCATCCTAAATCTGATTGATTCTTCTATAAATTATAAGATCGTCAAGTAGTGTTTCAAGTTATCATTATTATATTTGCGGCAAAAATAGTACTTCATTGTTGGTTTTCAGTTAACTTACGTATTTTGTTACCGGTAATCAAAATCAGATAACTAGATGTATGCTTTTACATTTACATAATTTGAACTGTACTAATCTGTTAATATGTGTATTCGAATTATACAATGATATATACTGTATGATAAAGTAAACCTATCTTTAATAATCAAACATTCTCACAGTTCGAGCAACAAAACTATCTTAAATAGAAAACATTTGGAAAACTGAAAGTACCGGAAGTCTGTCTTATTCCGGTCTAGGACTACTTAACAGTACACATTCGTAACCCTGCCACAGAGACCTGAACCTAGAAACTCGAACACTTCTAGAATACTGAGTTGCCATCCAGGGAATCGATGTTCTATGTAAGGTAATTTTTTACTAGATTAAGATAACCGTTTAGTGCTTTCAGAAATTCAATAGTGAACTAATTAAGATTAATCTGTGATCTAAATTGTGAAAATTTTTCAATGTTCACATATACCCTATACTAATAAACATGATTTAAAGCATTACCTGCACTTCATCCATAATATATCAAGTAGTTTCAACGTACTTACAGTAGATAATTATACGTTTATTATGGAGTTGAATTCTTTGAATTTAGTGGTCTATTCGTGAAGCTTTCACTATCATTCATGTAAACATCATCAGAACAAACTTTAGAGCTATAAATCTTAGCCACCATCCTAAAACTATTATATCCCTTATAACAATTAGCAAATCGAAGAGCACTATTTAAATAAACCATGGTTTAAAATTACTGTTAACACTTATCATCCCCAATTGATGAATAGTCACTTATGCTCTCTTTGTTCCCTCTCTTCAGATTTTTCATTTAATAATATTAATCATTTTGAACATGTTATAATCAGTTATGACTGTTTTAGGATATATATAATATCAGATGAGTTTTGTGGATATTATAGTGATTTCAATGGTTAAGATCATGAGTCAGTTGAAGCTAGACTACCATGGAAAACCATGGAAAACTGAACGGCTCTTTCGATCTATTGTGGGACTCCTCAGTAGTGCGCATCCACGACCTCGCCCCCTGCGAGATTCGAACCCAGGACCTACTGGTATCGCGAGCGAGCACTTAACCACTAGACCACTGAGCCGACATCCAACGGTGTTAATGTCTAACTTCAACTAATCCACAAAATTGAGCGACACATCCATCATTATCTTCAGTGAGTTACTATCTCACAACAGACCTGGTTGAACTCCACTGGTCACTATTTCTCACTAGAACTCCAGGATATACCTCGCATATATAATGACCAATAATTTCTTCAGTGAATACTTTGTTATAATAATCAACATTAGTAATCAATTTAGATTCAATTTTAAATGTGGTTACAACCAGAGACAATTTGTTTCACAACACGCTATTTCTTTATCATGTTTTATCTTATTCATTTCTCTATGTGTTCCAAGAGATTTACAGTGTTTAACAAGAAGCTATTACATATATATATTGTTAAATATTATCTATTTAATGGAAAAAGTAAACTGTATTGATCGAAGACAAAGATCAGGAATCACTACTCTAGTGTGAAAAATAAGAATTCTGAATCAGCAATGTTCAAGTCAATTATCGAATAGCAATTTACTTATACAGTTCCCTCTCCATCATCCAATTTTATAAACTAACGATTATTCTATGTTTTTAATGTGATTCTCTTTAATATAAAGGATAAATAATATTAAATCCAGTCTATTTGATATTAAAAGTGTTCGTGTACACAACGAAAGACCCTGGAATTGAATCTCGCGAGCGGGATCATGGATATACACTGTTGAAGAGTCACACAATAGGATGAAACGGCCATCCAGTGCTTCCAGGTTTTCAATAGTGGTCTAACATCATTCAGTTCATGTTTTCAATCAAAAGCTTAATAATCTCTACAACCCTATATTAATAATATTATTTCAACATCTTGTATTTAAACTTTGATTTCTAAAACTAAATTTGATAATTCGTAGAGAAACACAGTAGGTTGACTATAGTTAATATTGTCACATACATTCATATAGGAAATATGAGAAGTTATTCAACATAATAATGAAGTACGATCTTGAAACATCATTATTATCATTATGATTATTAACAATATTATTTTTATTTTCTTTATTATTACTATTTATTAGTACTCACTTACAGTTGTATTTCTTACATAGGTACTTGTTTATGAAGCCAAGAATAGTTGCATGTAGATAGATGAGTTGCATAAGTTTTATTTGTAATAGAAACTAAACTATTAAACAATTTATCACTTCTAAATACGAAAAACCCTTTAGACGATCAAAATAATAAAATGAATACATATAATACATATATTAAAAACTACAGAACATCGTCATGAAATACGAACATAGGAAATCGAGTATCATGTATTTGGAGGTAGTTGACGGAAAATCCTGGAGCTAAGATTCATGCTAGTGGGAACTTAGCCGTTGTCTTGTGAGAACAGATGCTCTTTAGAAATTCTAACTTGTGTCTCACATTGCTAGACGTTAATAATGATCTTTGTGGGCTGAGATTTATCTCCTATAAGGCTGAAATATTTACAGTTATATGATGGCTAGTGTTACTTACATTTAGATTTTTAGTACAGCTGGAATTCTATCGGTGAATTTGTAAGTGGTTTCTAGTCTAAATGACTCGACTTGACAAATAGCTCGCTCAACACTAAAAGACAAGGTAATTATGATAATAGCAAATGTTCAATAAGGAGAAATTACGACTGAGTCAGTTATTTATATCTTATAATTATAGATGCTTGATTGTATGATATTGCAATTATGTGTTCACACAATAAGTTATTGATCCATTTACATTAGTTACTACCCAGTTGAAATTACAATTATCATAAACTTAGTTTCCAACTTCTCCTGTCATTTTGCGTTCACAAACGCTGAAATTCATGATCCAATTTACTAGGTCTTAAAAAGTGTCAAATTTTAAAGGTACTGATATTGATGATATTTTATTCTTGACCATCGTCTGCAAAGTAATGTATAAATGATGGTGCTGTCGGTTAAGTCTTATGCCTTCTTCAGAATGAGACAAATCTTCTGAAACTTTTTTGTCCTTATATTTATATATTAAAAATCACGGTTATTCCTTATTCAAGATAATCAGTAATTCAATATCTAAACGATTTCCTTGTTTCAAGTTTTACAGTAGTTTTCGTAGTTATTACACTAATCAAGGGCACTGATTAGAATAATGTGATTAAACAGCAAAGTTGGGCATTTGAACCGTTCTGTACCGGCTTACTAGTCAAAAGGTTATTGGTTCGGGTAATATCGCGATTTCCCCAGTTGTCTCAAAATTAATGAAGCGATAGTTTTTGTCTTACAATATACTGAACGTGTTTTAATCAAAATCAAGTTAAATCATTGTTGATAGGAATATGCCATAGTAACTTTCTATTGTTCTTAAATAAGAAGAATGAACTAATACAAGTATATGAATATCGACCTTCGTAAACAGGTTCGTTGGATATTTACAAAAAAAGTAATTGTTGTTTTTACTACTGATTATTTGATCAGTAGGTAAAATTTAACCAAGAAAGATTTCGACTGCCTAAATAATCCATTATTTATCACATAGATTATCTGGTTTCAGTATGCTTATATTATTGTGACCAGTTGTCTTCCTTATCTAACTTAAAACATTCGCATGAAATAATTATAAACACCTTTCTGCATTATGATTGAAAGAAGTCGACCAAAAAGAAATCGACTAAAATGATATTAATCAATATTAAATTATTTTGTTATTTACACTAAATGTTTTTAGATAAGAATTCGGGTATTCCATTACTCATAGTCTGATACTATATTCTGGCGAAGTATTTATTTTTCAAAACACGTACAACGCTTTACATGATTACTTTTTTAATGTAATATTACTTAGTACGTTTTATGAGGCGAGATGAATTTTGCAAGGCTATATGTGATTGGGAATGTTATAAGACGGATAAAATTCCTTTACTTTATAATGTAATAAACGTGTATGTGGCTGAATAAAAGAATTACGGAGTAAAACAATAAATAATGATCCATTTAACTGCTTACAGAAGATGTGTGGACATTGTTAAATCCTCAATGTCTTCACTACGGAATAATTATAGTTAATAAATTATTGAAAACTAGAAAACACCAAAATCTTGTTTTGTAGCTAGCACAATAGTCCTGAGTAGTGGCTTTGATGATCCTACTGTAAATTGCACCTATGATATTCGATCACTTTTCTTGCTCTTAAGCTTTTGATCATTTGTCCAGAATGCAATAGTGTTTATGTCTAATATCAATACTTTCATGAGTTTGATGCTTATCATATCGTAAATCAATCAGAAAATATTTCATGCTACACAAAGTTGTTCTTATTTTTATCTAGATGTTTATCAAGAATTAAATAATTAACAGTCCACAATTTTCTAAGTGTTTTTTCTGCAAAAACAGTTATCCATGTAAGTATTCGCACCTCAATTTATATATATATATATATATATATATATATATATATATATATATATATATATATATATATATATATATATATATACATAAATATTGGTATGAAGGGATGCCGAATACATATGCGCCACATAAGTCACTAGATTTGGGTGTGAGCTGTAATACTTCCCGAGTGTCCAAACTGAAACAGGTGGTTTTCTTATGGGATCACACCGGGAACCTTCGACTTAAAGGTCTGATCCACACGGTAGTGGAGCAACGTCAGGAGATGCAGTCCCTTGGTAGACAGTCACAAGTAACTGGTTCACACGCCACTTGTTGCTTCACGATCCTGGAGCTAATGTGCATCATTGGTTTGGAATTAGGGTTTTCCAACTACACTAGATGGATCCTCCATATCCATCAACCCTCTTAAAGCTCCGGACGTTCGCTTTTAGTCTTCTCACTTTTGTAAACAACCGCTCAGCCTCGAGGAGGCAGTGAGTAGGACCTCTCCGGCAGTGGATGTATACGCGTAGCTATGTGAGAGCATTTCGAGCATACCAGGGCATTTGGGGGCAAAACATATGGAAAGCTTGACGATTTCGCGTGTCATCTTTGAGCAGAGGCCATGCTAATCTTCTATATATCGTTACAATTTTAGGATATATACCGCCGAATCACTCTCACTTGAATTATATCCTCATGCATAATTTGGTAAACTAAAACGTCAATTACATTTTCATTAGACGGTAGTGGCTAATAAAAATACACTTATGAATTTGTTTATTTAAATATACTTGAATTTCACAGAGCTATGATGTATGAAAACTTAGGACAAAAACACAAATGAATAGTATAAAATTTTAGCAATCATGAAGATGAAGATGTAACTTATTTGCTTTTTCTTGCTTACTTATTTATGTCTGTGACATTACATGGAGGGGTATAGGTCTACCACCAGAATTCCCCATTCAACTCTGTCATGGATAATCCATTCCAGTCGTTCCCAGTTGCTATTCATCCCTTCCATGTATTCTTCTTTGGTCGTCAACTTTTCTGTTTCTATTCATAATTCCAAGCTAGTGCTTGCTTCGTGATTTAGTTTGATGACTTCCGTGCTGTATGTCCTCTTTACTTTCAACTTTTTTTGCTACTTTACTTTTCAGCTCGAAAATGGTTTGTTCTCTCCCATTGTAGGCTGTTGATAATGGTATCCAACCAATGAACATTCAGTATTTTGTGTGGACAACCGTTTATAAATATTTGTGCTTTTTTGATGATGGTTGTGTCAGTTCTCCTAGTTTCAGCTCCATACACCAGAACTGTCTTGACGTTCGTTTTGAAGATTCTCAATTTGATGTTAATTGACAGTTGTAATGAGTACAAATATGCTATCCTTACTTTGTCAATCCGTGATTTTACGTCTGCATCGGGTCCTCCTTGTTCATCGATGATGCTGTCAAGGTACATGAAAGAGTCCACATCTTCCAATACTCCTCCAAAAAATTGCGGTTGGTTTGGTGTTTTCCAGGTTGTATTTGGGGATCTTGATTTTTCTGTTGTGTATTATGAAGCCTACTGATACAGGGACTGCTGTTAGGCTGATTGTTTTAATCTGCATTTGTTGATGTGTACGGGATATAAGTGATAGGTTATTTGCAAAGTCCAAGTTTTCTAATTGACTCCAAGCTAACCAGTTTGTTCTTTGCTTATGCATTTACATAGAAAAACTAAATTCAAATTCATGATCCAGTATTCTAGTAAAAGAATCGAACATAAGAGTTTACAGCATATTTTATTGACATGTAATTGTCATGTTTAATTTATGATCAATTGAAAAATAGTCAGATGTAATTTTAATATCAACAATGCATAATTTTAATTTCATATCGCATTTGAAAAGAACACAAAAACTTCACAGTAATGTTATTTGAATATCAGAAAATCATCATCATCATCATCATCATCATCATCATCATCATCATCATCATCATCATCATCATCATCATCATCATCATCATCATCATCATCATCATCATCATCATCATCATCATCATCATCATCATCATCATCATCATCATCATCATCATCATCATCATCATCATCATCATCATCATCATCATCATCATCATCATCATCATCATCATCATCATCATCATCATCATCATCATCATCATCATCATCATCATCATCATCATCATCATCATCATCATCATCATCATCATCATCATCATCATCATCATCATCATCATCATCATCATCATCATCATCATCATCATCATCATCATCATCATCATCATCATCATCATCATCATCATCATCATCATCATCATCATCATCATCATCATCATCATCATCATCATCATCATCATCATCATCATCATCATCATCATCATCATCATCATCATCATCATCATCATCATCATCATCATCATCATCATCATCATCATCATCATCATCATCATCATCATCATCATCATCATCATCATCATCATCATCATCATCATCATCATCATCATCATCATCATCATCATCATCATCATCATCATCATCATCATCATCATCATCATCATCATCATCATCATCATCATCATCATCATCATCATCATCATCATCATCATCATCATCATCAACATTCTTTCTTAATGATTAAAACATAAAATGAACTTTCATATCTAACTCCAATATGATCCATTTTCATAGCTAAATTCTTTCATAAATGATTATACACTATACTAATACATTCAAAGCATTAAATATACCTAAAAATTGGAGAAAATACAAAACAACAACATTAAAAGCACATTATCCATTCAATTTAATCTTCATACAAACCTAAATAGTAGTATCTATCATAATGTCACTAGAACTAATGAACGTGTTATTATTCAAGAAAATTTTAATTAACTTTTAGGAAGATCTAATCTCAAGTCATTAGTTTCTACATGATCTATATAGATATATATAGTTATCTCTTGCACCACATACATGTATTTCTTCAGTGAGTAGTTCAGTACAAACAGCATAAACATCATATCTATTCTTTGAATAATCTATGCATGAATAAGTTAGATGGATAAATATATTTATATATAGAATGATAAATGTTTAGACATCATTAAGGAAGTATATTTTGTCAAACAATAATCATAATAATACTGATAATATATATATATATATATATATATATATATATATATATATATATATATATATATATATATATATATATATATAGAATAGTAATAATACAATTCATTATGTAGCATAATTATTATTTATTCAAATAGAACTGTAATTTCATTTCTCTTTAATTATCTAATCTCTAATGAATGATACAAAATTAATTTAGATCTTTGTTATTGAATATTAACTTTGACAGAAATACAGTTTTGTTCTTTCATTTTTGTTTGTTTGTTTTTTTTGTTTTCCTTTTTGATGTTCGTTTTCTCTTTTCTTTTTTTAATTTACTTTTTCGTTTTCTATTCTACATTAAAATGTTGTTAAATATAGAAAGAAAAATTAGATAAATGATCGAAAAAAAGGAGAAAAAAGGGAGGGGAAATGCGAAACAACACACTTACACATAGATTATCATAGTCTATTTATATATACATGTTTTGTTTAAAAAAAAAGAATGAAATCAATGCAAGATTTTGTAAATAATAAAGATATTTAACAACAATGATCTGAATTATGTGCGGATACGGGAAAGAGAAAAATGAGAGACTAGAATATATTGCCACCATTTTGGGGATGTATTTAAAAGAGAAAATATAAATTTAGGAAGAAAAATAAAACAACTCGTATTGTGGTGTGTTTGTGTGTGCGCTACTTATATCAACTTCAGTAGTATATAATGCGAGTGGGGAATATAATGTCTGACTGTAGATGATTGAGAAAGGAAGAACTGGAATAGAAAACAATTAGCATAGAAATGCAGGAACAATGAAGTGTGAGACAATTAATGAACATTTTTACAAATGAAATATTAGAGTATGTTTTTTCAATTTTTACCAAGTAACTCTATAGATTCATACTATAATATAATTCGGCTGTCCTCATCTGTGTTCTCCATCACTACAGTATATGTTTTAAGTGGTAATTCATTTAAATTTTTCATAGTAACACTCATTAGTATTAGTAGTAGTATGGATTAGTGTACTTTATAAAATTCTCAAATTATTAGTTGAAGGGTACTTTATAAATGTAACTCATTTCTGTTTGTAATATCCTATTCATTATTTTTAATGATTATCAAATTACTCATTGAAAAACTGAGCTGAGCGCAAGTGATGTTTGAGAATGGAAAAATTGAGGAAGAATTAATGACTTTTTTATTTATAAGAAAGATACATTGATAATGATAAAATATAGATTATTACTATTAATGGCTTTACAACATAGAATTCTCGGCACAAAATATTCCAACAAGCTTCCATTTCTTATTTCTTAGTCGATCGTGACGATAAATATTGAGTGATCGCTACTTGGATGTTAGCAGTCCAGTCAATCGACATCTAAATAATATACATTCTTTTCGATGTATATTACCAGCAGCGACTATATCTCTCGGCGTATTGTAACTTGTACAACGAAAGATCGTACATTTTCCAGAAATGCACAGAATTAGATAACTTGTTGAAATATCTAGATGGCAGGAATAGGTAGCCCAGATGTTCAAAAAGGCCGCCATGTTAGATATCTTAGCTATTCAATGACATAATTTAACTATTGTATTTACGACATTTCGTAATCAAATGTAATTTTCTCTGCTATCTTTATTCACAAATCTTTGTGCTACTATTATCATTACTAATCGTTGAACATCATTATTCATCTTCCCAATACATGATTCATTCACTTCACATTCATTTCTCCTTAATACATCTTACTAATTTTTATCAAAAGAGGTTTATGTGGACATTAGAGTAATTTAATAGTATAGACCATGACTCAATGGAAGCTAGACTGTCATGGAAAACCTGGAAGTACTAGACAACCGTTTCGTCCTATCGTGGAATTCCTCAGCAGTGCACATCCACAATCTCACCTCGGGAGATTCGAACACAGGACCTATAGGTTTCGGCCGTGCAATGCTTCCACGTTTTTCACGATGGTCTAGCTTCAATTAACTCATGATCTCAACTACTGAAATTAATTATTTTTCACACAATATGGTATTCCACCAAATTGTAATTTTACTATTATTTCTTTCACCCTATCTGACCCATATTTATTCGGATTATGGATTTTAAATCTTCACTTAACATATAAGCTGACTTAAATTAACATTCGATATGAGTCGTATCAACACTAACAATTTGATCCTATTTCGTTTGACAATCCTAAATTCACTTGCTTTATTTTTAAACGATGTAGTTTACCTTTAACCTGATCATTTTTTAGATTAATAATTTGAATATCTGAATTGTAGAACCTGAAGAGAACTTCTCAAAAAGAATATTCGGTGAGACTATAATTTATGGACAACCTTTGAGCTAAGTTAGACTGACCTTGAGAGTGTTCACCTTCTATCTAGAACCAAATGAGGGTTCTAAACTTGTGTGAGGAATTAGAATTATATTTTACAGTTGATGATTAAGGTTGGGAATTAGATTTAGTGTTTTTATCACGAACTGACATCAGCTATAATGTCAAAACTTGATTTAACCAAATGGATGAGTGAATTTCGCGCCAATATTCGAGGCTTATTATCTTATACCATAAATTATAGTCTCGCCGAATATTCTTCATTCAAATATTAGTATTTTAACATAGACATTTAACAAGTAAGTAAAACAAATAATTCACTCATTGTATTTCAACTGCATTGACAATTAGATGTATTTTATCACACTGAAATGTAACTCTATTTTGTATAGTTGACAACTTCAAAATATTCTTTTCTTTTTCATTAGCTTAGAAGCGTTTACGTGTAGTTTAAATGTATACACTTGAATGTACTTCAATTTTTGTTGTTAGCAAACAGTACAGTCTACTGAAATTCTGTGGCTCAGTAGTATTATATAACCAAATTATCAGCAAACCGATACTCAGAAGAATTTTCTTTTTAAAAAAAAATCTCTAAATTATGAAAACTTGTATTTTTCAAACGAATATCATGTTCAACTGAATTGAGCTATTCTAGTTGAAAATTATGTGTTAGACACGATGCTCTCAGACTGATTTATTGTGTTTATTACTGTTAGATCCCTTGATAAGTTTAAAAAGAAAAAGAGCAAATAAGTTTATAGAATAAAAGCAATCCATTCTCATTGATGGGTTCACATCAGTTGCAAACAACCTGAGATTATGATGAATAACATTATTCCAAACGACGGTTTCAGCATAATCTAATTAGTAAAGTTTGCCTGAATATTTGAAATGGAACCAAATACCATAATAAGAACACAACAAAAGATTTATGAATAAATATGGTTAAGATTGAGATGTCTTAAAATATACGGAAGTAATGGGCTTGTTGTCACAGTTACTATTAGTCACATTTAAGAAAAAAGTGAATATATAATTACCATTATATTAATAAGTAATTGTGTAAACACCCAACAAAAAATTAGAAACAAAATCAAATCAATATCATTATCAATAAGATCATGTCAAAGATATTAAAGTCTATAAGACTGAGAGGTTATAAAGGGTAATTTGATTAGGATTACGATAATCAAAGCAAAGGCTTTTCAGGCCTTACATCTGTATGTAGGGAATAGTTCGGAAACGTCTAATAGTAATGTTACCTGCAAAATGAAGTGAGAGTGATGTTAAAAGTTAATTAATTATCATTTTTTAATGCATAATTGATACCCACTTTACACAGACTAACTATTAAGTGTCAAGCAGTTTGAATTTTGAAGACTTTACTAGTTTTCAGAGAAAGGTTCTTTGGAAAGTGCTTAGAATATCTGACGAATACGTTTCTTTCTGTCTTTCCAAAATAGTTACTAAGGTAATTACAAATAAATTTCTAAATAATTTCTAAGAAACTCAAAGAAATCGGTTATTATTACTTATAAGTAGTCGTAAAATTACTGTGTTCTCTTTGAATGTAAAAGTGTATGGCTACCATAAAAATTCAAATTTCCTTTTAACTTTAGTCTATAGCCAAAGTGAGAAGGAATAATGTAGACAGATCAGTGACGAACATTTCAATTTTTACATAATAGTCATAATTGCGGTATATTTTCGCTGTAAATTTTAGAGATCGAAAAGATGTTTAGATTGCTATCTTGCCTCGAGGACATCTGATAAACGAAGAGTGAGCAAGCAGCAGGACTTGCCAATACAAAAGCAAAAGCACTAAAGTCACAAACATGCTCCACACTATAGTGAGGAGAATTTGGGAGGAAGAACAAGTGAAGACGGACTAGAAAGAAAGACAATTCAGCAAGATGTCAAAGAAAGGAGATTTGAGAAAATGTGAGAACAACATAGGAATCACACCACTGTTAGTACCATAAAAGGTTTTCAACAGAGTGTTGCTCAGCAGGACAAAAGATTTAGTAGATGCAAAACTTCGAGATCAACAGGTCGGATTCCGTAAAGATCGGTCGTGCACACACCAAATCACCACATCACTGATCATCGTTGAGCAATCACTTGGATGGAACACTTCATTATACATGAACTTCGTTG